TCTACTTTGCACTTCTTCCCTCCTCATCTTCCTTCGCGGCGTCTGCTCCCTCGTCGACGCCATCACCACCTGCCGGCCGACGGTGACGCTGCACTCACCCCCCCCCCCCCGCCACAGCCACCACCATAAACCACACACACGCCATCACCACGACCCCCAACTGCCATCTCCGGGCGTCGCCATTCCGAACTCCGCCGCCTCCTGGGTCGCTATGACAACTAGCACCACCATGGCAATCAGCACTACCATGACAGCTAGCACCACCATGACACCTAGCACCACCATGGCAACTAGCACCCTCTTGACAGCCAGCTCCACCATGGCAATCAGCAACACTATGGCAACCAGGCGACGCTGCAGTGGGGTCTCGGCCTCATTAGGGATGCAGCGCCGCCTCGCCCATGCCAGGACCTCTGTCATCGCTGCCAGGCTCGGCCAGCAAGCGCCCTCCGCACCACCTGCCATGCCTGCCAACTATGCATGGCCGCCCGCCTGTCAGCTGCATGGCCCGAGTGTGTCTCCGTGCATGTTTATCTGGGTTCCAAACGCCTGTCGTCTGGATACCCGTTTGTTTATCTGTGTTTACTGCCTGTCATATCTCTACCTCGGTTGATTTCATCTGCCGGCCTAGATAACGGCTTTTTTAGCTGTTCAGTTGCCTGCTTGCCTACCTACTTATCCGTCTGCCTACTTGTCTACTTGTCTGTCTGTCTGTCTGCCTGCCAGAGTCCGAGTCCGTCCTGTCTGCTTGAATGCCCTAAGCAACGATTCCGCCAGCCCAGAGTACCAGCGAGCCGCCAGGAGCAGCTTCCCTCCCAAGTCGTCGTCGTCGGCGGCCGGACAGCCTCATCCACTGGGACGGCTTCCTTCCTTCCTTCCTTCGTTCCTTCCTTCCTTCCTAGCCGACGAGAGAAACCGGCGCACATGTCACTCGTGGGTTCTGCCTCAGCATCATCCCGGCCGCGAATTGGGCGCACAGCGGCCGCCTCTCACTGCGCCGCAACATTCCTTCCTCCTCGGCCAGGCGGCAATCTCCCGCGATGTCACCTGTCTGCCTGCTTGCCTGTCCGCTGTCATCTGCAGGCACTTTTGCCTTTCACTCGAGGACCCGCCGCTTCCAAAACCTCGCCCCCCTCCGCCCTCGCCGCCGCGCTCAGCCAGACGCTCCCCCGCGGCTGCAATTTCCTCGGGCATCGATCTCCGGATCAATTCCTGGTTCAATCTCCTGTTGATGGCGATATCGCCGCCGCTTCCCCAGCGGAGGCGTCCGTCACCGCCGCCTCAGAGGGGAATCGTCTGTGGCTCATTATCTTCTTTTTATCGCCGAGCCAGCGCGTCTAAATCATGCGATTCGGACAAGCCTAATAACGCAGACACTCCCTCCTTATAATCCCTCCCCCATACATCCATGTAATCGCCCCATCCTTCCTCACGTCAAGCGATGCCTCGGGACCATGCCTCGCTTGTCCTTCACCCCCCTCCCCCTCCCCTTCCCCTTCGCCTAAAAGCACCCCAGGAGAGCGAGGGTCCCGCCCACTGGACCCTCCCCACCCCTCTCCCTCTCCCTCCCCCTCTCCCTCCCTGCCAACCTCAACAACCCACCTTCCATTTCCTTCTTACAAGGGCCACAGAGTCGTACAGCTAGGAAATAAATCTACCTTTCAGACCCAAGCACCTGTCATCGCACTTCTCCCGCGCTCCGACCCTCAAGGAATCCCTATGATAAAAAAGTAAAAATACGAAAAGAGAGCAGACAGTGCGAAAGGGAGTTACGTCATCGTCCCAGCTGGCCGACGTAAAGGAAGCATAATAAAATCTCAGATAAAATCTGCTTGCGACCAAGTTTCCCAAGCAAAACGGGGGACACCAAAACACGTCACGTCACCAGATGTTCAACGCTTTCGTCCTATAATAACAATAATAATAACCATAAAAAAACACGCGAATTCTAAATTTCCCAAAAAAACAACACAGAAAATTCTAAATTCCGACGAAGAAGAGCCACATATAAATAACAATAAATGGTAATAATAGTAGGGAATTACCTGGCTGGGAATCCGACACATGGCTACCATCCACACCTGCGTGACGGAGACAAGCCCTTCGAAAATCTCCCTCTCGTTACCATGGTGACGAAGCCTTCTAGCGATCTGCCCAACTGGAGACGCCAATCGCACGCCTCGGGTCTCGGCAAATTACTACTAGTACTACTACTACTACTACTACTAATAATAATAATAATAATAATAACAGAATGCGATTGAGAATAATGATCACCAGTTCAAAGAATTCTGGAGTACAGACGCGCCACGAAGGAAGGAAGGAAGGAAGGAAGGAAGGAAGGAAGGAAGGACAGATCGAAAGAAGGAATAAAAAAAGGAAAGAAGGAAGTAAAGGATAAAGGATGAAAGAAGGAAGGAAGGAAGGAAGGACAGATTGAAAGAAGGAATAAAAGAAGGAAAGAAGGAAGTAAAGGATAAAGGATGAAAGAAGGAAAGAAGGAAGGAAGGAAATAGGGGAAGGAAGGAGGAGGGTTGAGAAGTAAACAACCCTTATTGACAAGGTCACTGACACACTCCAAGCGCCCCTCCGGAAGCACAGGGCCCCGCATATACCCCCTGAAGAAGTGGAAGGTCATTGTCGCATCTTAAGGGGACGGGGACGGGGAGGAAGTGAGGTGGATAGGCCTAAGGGAGGAGGAGAAGGGGATAGGGGATGGAGGAATGGGGGAGGGGACGGGGAGAGGGGAAGAGGATAGGGGAGTGGAGGGAAGGGGAAGGGGGAGGGGGAAGGGCGAGATATGGGGGAGGGAAAGAGGAAGGGAGATGAAGAAGGAAAGGAGGAAAGGAGGAAAGACAAGGAAGAGAAGAGAAGGGATGGAAGGCGGAAGCGGAGGGGGGGGAAGAAAGAAGAGAGGGGCGAGGAGGGGAAGAGGATGAGGGAAGGGAGGGGAAAGAGGAAGGGAGGTGGAGGCACAAAGAGAAGAGGAAAGGAGTAAGGAAAGACTGGACAGAGAGATGAAAGCCAAATGAAAAGGATACCAGAGAACAGAGAAACGAGGAAATGAGAAGGGAGCCAGAGAGAGCGAAACGAAAAAGGAGAGGAAGGGGAACGAGGAGGGACATTGAACCAAACACAAGCACATAACACCCTTCTTAGGCCTAGACCACAACACACTTTACCCCAGGTCACTCTACAAAGTGGCCCCAGGTATGTGACTCGGGACCCGTACCTGTGCATTAACGTCCCTCAGACACGCCCTTCCTCTCCTCCGCGGATGTTAGGCCGAAGAGCAAGGACGCGAGAGGGAAGGGGTAGCACTTTATTTCACATTAGGGACATATTGCCTTTGGCTCGTTATGATTATCCTTCTCGTGGTCGCTGTTTGGTTTTTGATGTTGATGTTAATGTTGATGTTGTTTTGTTGATGTTGATGTTGTTGTTGATAATGTTAAAGTTAATGTTAATGTTAATGTTGTTTTGTTGATGTTGTTGATAATGTTAATGTTGTTGTTGTTGTTGATGGTGATGATGATCTAGTTGATGGTGTTGTTAGCATTACCATCACCACTATCATCATTTCACAATTTTCCCCCTGCCACTCTAATCAACCTACGTCAAGCACGGACAAGCAAGCCCACGCGACACTGCAATCTGACTTCAGCAATCGCAGCGAGACGCGAGGGAATACGGACAGCAATAACAAAAACCCCTTCAATTAAACCAGTCCCGTTACTTTACTTTCGCGACCTTCACAGAGTCCCCGCAAACATCCCTCCCGCTATCGAATCCGTGCGCGAAAGTAAAACCAAGATAATTTAATTAAGCCGAGTAATGAGCGACGGTTCGGAGCGAGCAATTACCTAGCATTCTCCCCCCCTCCCCCCCATCCAAATTCGTTAATTCCCTCTTCGCCCTTAATGACCCCTTCCTGATTAAGCCAATACATTAGCCTCCCTAACCGCCCCGAGGTTCCTGCTCTCTCCCAAGACAGCCTCAAAAACACCAGCCTTCCATACACCCTTCCAAACGTTCAGACGACGAGGGGAAAAAAAAATACCCCATATATATCCCTTTCCATCCGCGTTGCGTTTTACCCAATAGTATCAGCTGATAACCGGGCGTGAAGGTCAAGAAAGCTATATAGCAGGGAGGGGCATAACAGCTGCACACGACGTGATATAAACCGATAAGGCTGTCATAACTCCTCGCTGCTGACACAACCCCGGCGCAGCTGTTACGAGACTTTCGCAGCGGCGAGTCACCTGCTCCGTGCTTTCTTTACAGCCGACTCTTTCTTTTTCCCTTTTCTTTTTTTATTTTAAGCCAAACCGCCGGGGGGGGGGGGCGAAAGGTGAAGTGAGTTTCCCTTGGGCTAATGGAAGCGTTTTTTATTTCTGACGGCAGATTGATGATGATTCATTTATTTTTCCCCTTCTTGACGTTATCGTTCTTTCTTATCACCCGACATTCCTTTCGTACCCTCGCAATCAGGACTTTACTCTGATAAGATTAGGATGAAAATCGAGGGAGAGATAATTCGCTGTCCATCTTAAACTACTGACAACGCTACTGACAACAAGTAGATTTCTCATTTGCTCTCGCAGGCTGGACCTCCCTCCCCCCCTTCCCCTCCAAGTGATATAACTATCACATTATTTCAAAACTGAAGGAACCAAAACTTCCCTGTGACTCTATTGATCAAAAAAAAAAAAAAAAAAAACTATAAATAAATACATCGAAATTACACCATATTTCTTCATGATAAAGAGAAAAAACAAATATCTAAATAAAAATATCTAAATACAATTTTAAAAATCTAAATACAGCTTTTTTATCAAACTTAAAAATAAACAAAAAATAAAACAAAATATAAGATAAAAACACCCAAAGACTAAATACAAACACCAACAAATAAAATATAAAAAATATATTTCTCACACACAAAATAAAACACACAGCCTAAAACAAGCCCCCCCCCTAAAAAAAAAGGTACTTACCCTTTTGGTTGCCTTGCTGTAAATCTTCATAATAGACGTCATGGTGGTGTGCTCGAGGGAGACCAGGTCGTCCTCGAGAAAGTACTTGAGGCCTTTCCCTTGCCTCGTCCTCGCCTCTCTTTCCTCGCTTTTCCTCGACAACACAAATACACTCACGGTCTCTCTTTTTTTTCTCTCTCTCTCTTTCTTTTTTTTTTTATTAAAAGTGCTTAGAACTGTACACAAGAAAATGAACATAAGAGGCCATGTTTACACTTTTTTCTTCTTCTAATTCGGACAACGAGCGTATTCGGACAACCCTTTCATTGGCACGACCCCGCGAGAAAAAATAAATCAAAATAAAATAAAATACATTAGCACGACACTGCCAGACCCCTTCTCAAACAGCCGCGTATTTAAGTGTACCTCCCTCGCCAAACAGACTTCCAAGGCTTCTAACAAACACACTGATTAATTGTTCTTTCTTCACGGCAAAACCCTCGCCTTTTTTAAAATTCCCTCGACATTCGTTCTTCCAAAACAATAAACGTCATCACCAAACAAAAACCTCAAGACCAAAAAAACAAACTCAAAAACAAATAAAAAAATAGATCAAACGTAAACAAATAAACAAAAAAAATACAGAAAAGAAAAACGAAACAGACGGACGTATGAATGGAAGAGAAACCCGCGGCCTGAGTCAGAGAGCGGCCGAGAAAGACTTGGAACGGACGGACACCTTCTGTGGTTCCCCCGGAGCTCCTAACATCTGCAGGGAAAACCGAGGCGCGCAGGAGAAAGCTCCGCGTCTTGGGGAACCTCGCCGATGTGAAGACGACGGGGGGGGGGGGGGGGAGGAAAGGGGAAGGAGAAAAAGAGGGAGAGGGAGAAGAAGAGGGAGAGGGAGAAGGGGTAGAAGAAGGAGAAGAAGTGGAATGAGAGAAGGAGGAGAAAGGGGAGCCGAACTTAGCACCTCGGGACTGACTGGCTTTTTGGATACTTTCAAACTTGAAAAAGATACACGTATGTTCTTACTGAAAAAAATATATGTACTTGTCGCAGGTTTCTAAGGTTTTCGCTGTTCTTTTTCTACGGATTTCATCATGATATCCCGTTTTGAACGATTCCGCGACAAAAGCAACATTCGGGCGAGGTAATAGATCGACTTTTGCAACTTGCCAAAAAAAAAAGAAAAAAAAAATCTTTAACCTTTGTATGAATAAAATATACTTAGTTTTTTTCCTTTACTTTCATTAGTAACATGGACATTTACCAGCACCAACACCTGTTTCTCGCCCGCTCGTCAATATTATGGTCATTCATCCCGGTACATTCACTGCTTTGTGTTAAAAACAATCGACTGATTAAAAAAGCGTGCCGAAAATATCGAAACATGCGGGTTCTGAGTCTTTTCTACGACTGTCCTTTGCCTTTCGAGAGTGGCTGATATACTACAACGCAAAAAAGATCACCATTACACCGTAATATTCACAAACAACCAATAATAGAAGGCGCTACCATGAGTAATGCACTGGCTCCCACAACTGCCGAACTGACACTGAGGCTCGCCGTCCGTCCCGTCGCTCAGCCTCCAGCGACTCGGCTCAGACAAACGTAGTGTTCTCGGTTGCCGACTCGTGATAACGCAGCTCGTAAATTCCCAACATTATCTTCCCAAATTTGTGCATACTTTAACGATTACTTCCGCACTTCCGGTGTCGACGGAAATGGGGAGATAGACGCACACGTATTTGAATAATATGCGTTTTTAAATCGCGTAATGAATGGCGAACCGGTAACTCGTGTCTTCCCATCGTCCGAACACGCGCACACGGTATTCCCTCGGTGACTTGCATGCTCGAGTAAGTAGGTATCCGACGTAAGAACTTCGAAGGCGTTATTCCGAAGGTGTTATTCCTTGCTCAAGTGGGCATCCTGCCCATCGCCCTGGGTCGAATTCAATGCCCCATTTCCTCGCCTTTCCACCATTCCCGCATTATGAGTGCTACCAGCAACTACCGACTTTCAACATTCGGCCAAAATAACACTCAATAAGGTAAGCCGATGTCCTATTCCATATTGATGGGATGAATCGGTAACCTATGCCGCCGTTTCCCTAATATTAATGACACAATCGAGGCATAGAAAGCATCGGAAATGTTTCAGCAGGTTACTACTGGCCTGAACCAGTTACCGTATTGCGCTCCGCCTCGAAATGGCTTCAGCAGATAACACACTTAGATTTATCTCGAGAGAACGATTGCCTTATCGTCCTACACACATATTTCTGTTTAATAATATCCAATAAAAACCTTAAAATCCAACCCCTTAAAACTATTTTATTCATAGACTTTCAGTTAAATTCGTCGCAAAGGCTGAGATTCCCTTCACTCTCTCGAGGAAAAGGTTCGAATTCTCCAGAACGTAACACCTTTAACTGGGGAATGACGAGTGCATTTCGCGTGTAAACAGTCGGGGTGAGATGTCATTTCTGTTTCACGCCAGTAATGACGATGATGATGATGGCGATGATGATGATAATGGTGATGATAATGATGGTAATGATAATTATGTTAATGATGTTGATGACGGTGATAATAGTGATGAAGATAGTGATACTGATGACGGCGATGGTCAATATAGTCGCAGTGGCGATGATTTTAGTGACGACAATAACGACAATATCAAAGCGAAAATCTTGAGGATATTTCAGTCACTTCCACTTCTAATATTCCTGTAAACATTTATCGAGACCCACAACCATTACCATTATCAATAATGACGACAGCTTCGAAAACAAAAATTGTACAGGAGATACTAGAACTAAATGGCAGACGTAGTTTTAGTAAGTAGAAAGTAGATGTAGAAACAATAGTAGTGATGATAATTTTGATAATCACTATTGATGATGAAAACAGAATAGTATCTGAACCAATAAGAACGATACTAAATATAAATACAATAGTAAATACAGTAATAATATTGATAATGGGGATGATGACTGATAAAAATAGTCGTAACAACAACAACGATGACAT